TTCCCTACAAATGTTTTGTGAGGTATAACTCTGTGTTAGCAGGTCTTTCCTTTTTTTCCCCACACTTCCTGGCTGTGTAGGTATCTCTCTTCCTATTTATGTTAAGTAGCGTTTATCTGGTTGCAAATACTATGTCTTTGTCATTTTTGACATTCCTTGTGCTTTCTGTTTTAATATTTACAAGGAATACAGATTCAAATAAATTATGAAGGCCTTTCAAAAACAGAACAGGGAAAGGAAGACAGTCTTGTGTAGACCTACAAAGAAGGGCTCAAACTAAGGCAAATCATGGTTTATTAAAATTAGTTTAAATTTTTCCAGATATGCTCAGGGAGAGAAGGTGTGATGGTCTGATAGACTAATTCTTGCTTCTCTCACCCTCGTATTTATGTATAAACAGTAAAGTTCTCAACATAAATCAGTGCTGTTATCATATCCATGCTGCTCACAAACAGCTACTAGAATTGATCAAAGTAAAGTAGCCATTACTTCTAGTTTTTCATATTTTGCTCTGTGCTAAAGAGGGAGAGTTTACTGCGTGTTAACTAGTGTAAGCCTGTGCAAACTGCATGCAGTTGCAGTTTGACATGAGATTTGCAACTGTCTTCAAGTTTGTGAAGGTAAGGCTCTATCATTAGGGAATAATAGCTCTTCATGCACATTTAGAAAAAAATGTTTGAGTGTATAATCATGTCTGAACATATAAGCATGTCAGAATTCCTGGTATTAATCTTTTTGTTTTGACATTTTAATTGAGATTTCATAGTAATAAAAGAGAATAATTTTTTTTTGTTTACCCCTTGGACTGGCTTGTCTTTTCTTATACAGCTGCGATATAATGTTAAAATAAGTATGACAGGTAGACTTAATTTATCTTGTCTTCCTTTTGTGACTGAACTCGTAGTTAACAATTGCTGTCTGTTGGTCTGTGCTGTTGTTTTCCTCGCCCTCCTCTCTGTTGTGATCTGCCTTAGTCGAAGTCTGCGGTGATCCCTACTTGGCCAAATGACAGAACTGGTCCTTCATCCTCGATTTCCTGTGGGAATCAGTGCTACTGAATGTATTCCTCTCCTGGATTGTGGTCTTGTTCTAGTTGATTTTAGTCCTTATAATTTGATCATACAGCATACATTTCTTAGATCCTCCTCAGCCTCAAACTGTATTCAGTGTTCTGGGCCTCTTTTGTCTTTCTCTTCTCCCTCTGTGACTTGCTGTTGGGCTGTTTATCTTACAAACACAAGTTTGACTGTTGCCTCTGCAACCCAGGTAGCTGCTGATGTTCGGACAGAATGATGAATCCTGCTCTGTGCCCTCACAATTTTATTTACTGCTATTTTTTCATTCCCACTCCTCCCCTCCACAGTCCAGCAAATAAGATCTTGACCTGTTCAGACTTATGCCAGAAGCCTCTGCAAGGTTTGCTTGCTTTGACTGAGATGTCTCTCTGCTTTCTGTTGCCTTGCAAATCCAAACAGCTTATCCTCAGACTTTCTTACGTTAAATACTAGAGATTGTTGTAAGAGAAATCAATATATAAAGCTCGTGAACCTGCTTGTTCTACTTTGTGCTACCCTTGTGTAAGGTTTTGTGTGAAGAGTTTTTATCTGCAGACTCTTACCCTGTGTGGTAACGTACAGAAGAGTTTAGTAATACCTCCTGCTACTTTGCCAACCCTAAAATAAGCACGATTAAAAGTAATTTATTCTGAAGAACTTCAGAATTTCTTTGTATGTGGGAGAAACTTAGTGAAACTTATAAGCAACTTCGTTGCAGGTTGGAAAATGCTTTCTATGAGCATGCTCAGACTTACTATTACACAGAAATACGAAGAGTTAAATCTCATAAGGAGTTCTTGAACAAAACCACTCACCAGGTAACGTTACCCTATTTTTGAAATACTGCACAAGTTATATTGCATGCCAAAACATGAAAATAATGGTTGTTTGTTGCTTAAATGTTTTTGCCCCCCCTTCCAACTGGAGATGCCATCTCTCAGTATGCAAAGTGAATCTGGTTTTAATTTTCTTCAACTTTGATTTTGATTGGTTTTGTTCATATGTTTATTTGTATTCCTCACATCTTCCGTAGAGGAAGAGCTGCAGCCCAAAAATGAAGTTGTCCAATTTAAAAAAAAAAAAAAAAAGAGAGAGAGAGAAAGTTCTGATTACGTATTTGGTTTAACCTATTTGAATATAGTATCTTAACAAGTTGTGGGAAGTGCTTCCCTTAGATGTGTCAAACTTAAACTGCCAACTCAGGTGCAACGTTAACTTTTGCTTTTCAAATTGTTAAATATCTGCTCAGGCACACAACGTTCTGTTGTCAGCTTGCCTCTCTTGGAAGCTGGGATCCAAGCGGTGAGCTCCGAACCAACAATCAGCACTGTTGGTGTAGAGATTTTGCGGTGTTACAAAGCCTCTACCACATGAAACCTCCTCCAGGGTAAAAGGCTCGGAATAGATTAAATCTGCTGAAAGATCACTGCTGCATCGTGGTGGCAGACACAACTATTAAGAAACAGTTGTGTGGTCAGTTTTTCAAGTCAACTGCTACATTATGTAAACCTCTGAAATTGCCAGCTGTGTCTGCTTTGCAGGTAGCAGGTCTGTTCGGGTGTCTGTGAATGATGTACATTGGTTGTGTCTTGCAGCTTTTATTTGTCAGACACCAGTTCAAAATAGCATTCTTCAGTGAGCTGAAACAGGATACGCAGAATGCTCTCAAGTAAGACTCATGTAATCTTCCCCCACCCTCTCTACCCCAAATTACTGCTAAGCTGTAGACTATGATAAAAATTTTCCTGAATGCAGAATTATTTAAACATGCATGTGAGGGGTGAGTTCTTCACTCGGAAGAACGCTCTGATTGCAA